TTACATACAACAATAGTTTAGTTATATATTAATAGACTTATAGAAAGAGACCTTGTAAAAACATTAAAATGTATTACTGGCACGCGAAATCTTAAATTAGAGTGAATAAATGACAACTCGGCACACCACTTCTAAAAGGTTGCAGACCCCTGGGCTACAGTGTCATATTACACGTTATTTTTAAAATTACCTCAAGACTAGGAGCCTTGTATTGTTGATCATCCTCCTCCTTGGCAATCCTGGACTAGAGGATCGACTATATCTAAGAAATACTTGAGGCATTTGGAACCAGTGGTCTAAAGCAACCTTTTATGTAAGGGCTGGCCCATCAAAATTTGCTCCAAAAAGTAGGTCTGTGTTGGCAGACAGATGGAATGGTAGTTAAAACACTCAAAACATTTAAACTGGAATTTATGTAGCTCATCTATCAGTAAGCTACATAAATTCTTACACAGATTAGAGCAAGCTATGTGTGTTGAGGAACTAGGGGATAGGATTCTCTCCAAGAAATTTTAAATTACAGTTTAATTATCAGTTTTGAGAAAGACATCAGAGGAAAGACAAAATATCCCCAAATCAAGTCATGGAATTGTAGAAAGTCATATCTCTAGCCACAGGCCAAGATAAGGTTTTCCCCAGTATTGTAAAACAACTTGAAAGAATAACATTAACAGTTTGATCATCTGCTTTATAAAGATTTGACTCTCAACTAGCAATGTCAGGCAAGTTTTTCATTTTACAGGAGTAGTAGTTTTCAGGAGCTTTTCTGAGACATGATATTCCCTTACCAATCCTAGAGAGGAAAATAAGTGCAACAAATGCCAGCGTTAACGAGTAAGCCAGGGAGCATATTGGTACATGGATCAAACATGAATATATGTTTGGTTGAAACAGAGATGGTACAGAGTCATATGTACAATACCATCAGATCTGCAGTACAGTCCCCTGAAAAAACACATCCAGGATCATCAAATGCTAATCATGTAATAAAATACCACAGTTATCTCCTGGAAACCATGAAGAAAAGCAAAAGAAACTTCTCTGACCAAAACAGTCAAGTTGTTTTGAGTAAGAAATGGATGTGCAGTCCATAAAGGATACAGACACTAGAGTGTCTGAATGAGCGTGTGGATTGGTTAAGCTGACAAATTGTTCATCAGCAAGGGGAACCCACATTCAGAATCTTCCAGTGGATAATCAGAAGCTTTGGATACAGGACTCAGTCTTTAGCTACCCAAAAAAATAGGCTTTAGTCAATATAATGTCCCAGATTAGGTCAACTAAGGTATATGTATCCTCTGATGCCCTTATTTCCAGGGAAGATTCACAAGGTAAAGGAGGAAAGGAAATTTGTATTATTACTTATACCAAATAATTAGACACTCACTTGGTTTCTACACCTAATGAAGATGTTCATACAGAGTTTAATTTAGGAGCAGTACACAGACTTTTTGAACTGAGGACCAGTACTATATCCAATTATGAAATGTCTAAATTAAATAGCATGGCTATTTAAAGGAAAAGACTTGTAGATCAGGACTGTTCAGAGCTATTTATTTTATTTATAATTAGGGCTGTCAAGCGATTAAAAAAATGTCCCCTGAAAGTAAGAACAGGCGTTCACATGGCACTGTTGTAGCTGGCATTGTAAGATATTTACGTGCCAGAGGCGCTAAAGATTCATATGTCCCTTTATGCTTCAACCACCATTCCAAAGGACCTGCATCCATGCTGATGACGGGTTCTGCTCGATAACAATCCAAAACAGTGCAGACCAACGTATGTTCATTTTCATCATCTGAGTCAGATGCCACCAGCAGGAGGTTGATTTTCTTTTTTGGTGGTTCGGGTTCTGTAGTTTCCACATCAGAGTGTTGCTCTTTTAAGACTTCTGAAAGCATGCTCTGCACCCCATCCCAATCAGATTTTGGAAGGCACTTCAGATTCTTAAATCTTGGGTCAAGTGCTGTAGCTATCTTTAGAAATCTCACATTGGTACCTTTTTTGAGTTTTGTAAAATCTGCAGTGAAAGTGTTCTTAAAATGAACAACATGTGCTAGGTCATCATCTGAGACTGCTATAACATGAAATATATGGCAGAATGCGGGTAAAACACAAAGCAGGGTACATACAATTCTCCCCCAAGGAGTTCAGTCACAAATTTAATTAATGCATTATTTTTTTAACGCGCGTCATCAGCATGGAAGCATGTCCTCTGGAATGGTGGCCAAAGCATGAAGTGGCATATGAATGTTTAGCATATCTGGCATGTAAATATCTTGCAATGCCGGCTACAAAAGTGCCATGCGAATGTCTGTTCTCACTTTCAGGTGACGTAAAAAAGAAGCAGGCAGCATTATCTCCCGTAAATATAAATAAACTTTTCTCTTAGCGATTGGTTGAACAAGAAGTAGGACTGAGTGGACTAATAGGCTCTAAACTTTTACATTGTTTTGTTTGAGTGCAGTTATGTAACAAAAATCTACATTTATAAATTGCACTTTCACGATAAAGAGATTGCATATGGTACTTGTATGAGGTGAGTTGAAAAATAGTATTTCTTTTGTTTATCATTTACCAACACAAAAGAACTCTAGAAAAAGCACTCCAACTCTTTTATCATAAAAAAAAAGCTGCTTTGATGAAAGTATGTGTAAGAATTTGCTTAAAATACTAACACTGGTCCACAACAGAGAGGTTTCAACACAAAAAGATGCTATTCCTCAAATATTGTTTTCTTTTCCCCTAGGGTGGGCCAGTTTTAATGGTTGTAAGCATTAGTATATTCAGAGTTCAGATAGCACCATTTAATAAAGTACTGAATCCTATAGATCATAGTTCTCAAATGTTCCACATATCTCATTACCTATGGGGAGTGAACATCATTGGCATCGCTGCTGATCAAAATGTGTCCTACTTGTGACCTGAATTTAATAGGAAAAATTGTTACTGAGTACATTTCAGTTTTATGCATTCATTATCTTTATTAACCATTAAAACTGGTTTCCTGAGAGTAACTACATCTGCCAAAAGAGACTGAGATAGGAGCCTGATCCTTTACTGCTAAGTAGTCTTTTTGGACTTAACCTGAGCATACACTCAATACAAATTACCCTTGATTGTAGGTAATAATTTTGCCTTCATTTTTCCAAAACTTTTTCAAGCCAAGGACAAAAGTTGATCCAAACTGTTAAAAAAAAAATTACAAAACATTGTGCGTTGTTAACAGGATTCATCCATTCAGAGCCTTTACAGCTTTGACAGTAGTGATACGCTTGGCCTGGGGAGAAGTGTAATTAATTAGAGGGAGATTGGATTTGGAGATGTTGCTCTTTTCTTCTAGTGGGCAGTAAGTTTCATTAACTTTAATGTAAAAAGAAAATTCCTGACACTGAGAGGAAAGGTGCTGCCAGAGCATTAGTGTTAAAGAAATATGGATAATATAGTGACCATAATGTAAAATGCTGGTGAAATCCAGAGGACTTTCCTTAGGATTGCTTTTGTCAGGTACGGTGAAGGAGAACTCCCGCATGGATGCACAATGGTGGGACTGATTAGGAAGAGAGACTATAAAGATTGCTTTAGAAAACTTACTGTTTATAGTGAGTAAATTAATAACCATGAGTTTTGGTCAAAGAATGTTAACAGTTCATGTGGGTGAGGGCAGAGTATATTTCTGGGTGATGATTATATGCCTTGTTCCTTGCTAACTAAGCAATTCTATTAAAGTGTTAAAAGAAAATAGATGTTTGTCTCATCTCCCACTGATTGATTTATGCCACAAATCCAAATTTATTCCATTTGCTTTGTCATAGTCAGCTGACACAAATTACTCTTAATATCTTAATACAGTATACCTAATTATTGCATTGGGAGCTCCAAATAGCATAGGAGAAAATACTTAGACTACATAATCAGCCTTCTAAAAGGACAGATACATCACTAAGAATGTGCAGTCTGAGTTAAGTGGTGTTTAAAACTTGATGTTTCTACTTAGCATTAAATGATTCCTACATACCACAATCAATGCTGTTCACAAATCTGTAATACTTTATTATAGTAAACAATACTATCGCACCACCTTATGATAGAAGTCTTAGAAATTTTTGCCAGTCAGAGTTGTTAACATTACATAATTAAAATGATTAATGATAACCCTTAATTCTAGAAATATACATTAAAATCAGTGTACTTTTTCAAAGTAATTTGTTATTTTTATTTTACATATTGAAATTTAAACTTTTTCGGGGGGACTGGAAGCCATTTTTGTTATCTGTAACTGAATAACGTGTAAAACTGATTTTCATGCGATGTCAAACTTGTCTGCATCTGTAAGCTTTTGGCGTTAAGAAATTGCAGCGGTAATATTTTAAATATCTAGTTTTATTTATGCAAAGGGGGCTTTGAGAAAGTGTGCTTTCGAGGATCTCTTCTACTTGTATGACTTTGCAAACTTGCTTTCATTTGTTCAAGTTTTGTAACTATTGCTAATAGCCCAGAAAGAAATGTTCTTAGGCCTCTTAGTTGTTTAGTTGTAATATTTATCAAACTCTGTAAAGTTCCTAAGTGATAAATTCTAAGTAACAACTAGAAAGTCACTTCTCTGTCGAACTCTGGATTTTGACTTTTTGTAAAGACTGCAATAATAAATATATGAGTTGTTTTGATTTATAGAGCTATAGGAATGTAACTTTCAGCTCTACTGACTTGAGTAATAGGTCCTAAATGACATCTTCTAGTCCACAAAGCCTGCAGAGGCTCGAGGCAGATGTGATTATGCTCATTGGAAAATTAGGAAGGCTTGAAGCTGTGTAATTACTAACTCTTTGTTTATGTATTTATAATCCTCCAGTTGCCACATCATGTTCTGCTTTGTCATGGCTGTAATTTTGAGTGGGGTGTGTATGTGTACACATATATCAATAATGTGTTCACGTGATTAAAAACATTCCAGCACAATTCGTAGAGATTTTTAAATCAGTAACATGAGATCAACTGACCTTTCTGAGAAGAACTTGATGGGTCTTTGCTTGAGCAGATGTCTACATACAAACTGAGGGCATGAGACCATTTCCAGAGAATGCGTTGCTACTAAATCTCCTGGCCAGAGTTTGTGACCGTGATGGGTTGAAGCATCTGTTTTTACAGCTATGTGATAGCTTGTGCATTTGCTTGTCACAATTTTAGAAATGATGCAGCAGTTTGCCAGAAGGATGAGGAGAAGAAAAAAATAGCAGTTAAAAACAATGGTTTATTTTTGTTAGTTTTAGACATCTAGTAGCATACACAAAAAAAGTAACACTTCTATAAAGATACTGACGTGAAAGGATTCATAGGATCATTCTTGTACAGGCATATATAACTCTATTATAAAAACCTAGTGGTCATTTCAGGCTCAATCCTGCAAACTGCTGAACACTGTAGCCACAGTCAAGTAAAGTGATTTAAATACATGCTTAACTTTAAGCAGTTAAGTAGTTCCATTGAATTCAGATGGAACTACTCACATGCTTTAAGTTAAACATGTTTAAGGTGTTGCTGAACTCTTAAACCCTGTTCAAGTTCTGATAAGGAAGGGTACTGAGAGCAGGGAGGTGGGTTCTGTTTTACAGGGGAGTACTAGACCAGGGACAGATGGCAAGATTGAGCAAATAAAGGATGGGGGGGAAAAGAGACCTTTCCACTCAGATGTTCCTAAATCTCCTCTTCTCCTGGAATCCTACATTGAGAGCCCAACAAGTCAAGTAGTTGGTAGACTCTTTAGTTATTTGTATGTTTAAAAAATACCATTATATTTCTTTAAATATTATTTTAAAATAAGGGATCTAGAATTATGGAGGGCTGCATTAAAAGAAAATGGTTTATGAATCAGCTGACAACAGAGGCAATACTGGTGATGCTTCACTAAGAGGGACAAGAGGCTAGTAAAATGAGAATCTGGTGTGCAACAGTGTTCAGTGTTGAGCTATGATGGGACTGTGAATGTTGGTAGTTGTATGAAGAGTTGGCACAAATGGAGGGAGTTGACAGGAATTCTCTGCGATAAGACTATGTCAAGTAAACTAAAGAGCAAAGTGTACAAGACCTTGATTAGGCCAGCCATGATGTATAGGTAGGAATGCTGGCCATCGAGAAAGAAGGAACTACTACTACTTCACATTGCCAAAATGAGGATGCACAGGTGGATGCTGGGTAAGACGAGAGCTAATTGGCTATGAATTGAAACAATACAAGTCATGATGCAGATGGCCCCCATCACTCAAAAGCTGAAGGAGTATTGACTGAGATGGTTGTGTTATGTGAGACAACGAGACGCAGGGCATTGTGGTCAGAGGGCATTAGATATAATAGTTACAGGACTAAGACCACAAGGAAGACCCAGAAAAAGGTTGTCCAGCATGCTGAAAGAGAACATGAAGAAGGTGGGTGTCACCTGGAAAACTCACTCAACAGGAATTCTTGGAGACAAAGAACAAGAGCCACTGACCCCGACTAACAGGACAAGATGAAGGCAAAGAAGAAGAATTATTTTTAAATGTTTTAGACCAAAAGATAAAGAAAACTGGGTGTTTCAATAAAAGATAAAAAACAGTTGAAGTACTTAGTGTTGCTATTTAAATTATCACTACATTTCTGAGTTAACAAACCATCAAAATGAATTGATATAGTTCAGGGGTTCTCAAAGTTCATTGCACCGTGACCCCCCTTTTGACAACAAAAATTACTACTTGACCCCGGGGGGAGGAGGGGGTGAAGCCTGAGCCCCAGTGCCTTGGGCTGAATTCCTCAGGCTTCAGCCCCAGGCTTTGGGGGTCGGGCTTTGGTCCTAGGCCCCAGAAAGTCTATCGCCAGCCTTGGTGACCCTATTAAAACAGGGTCGCAACCCACTTTGGAGTCCCAACCCACAGTTTGAGAACCACTGATACAGTTCATATCTTTCTTACAGCTACTGTTTCTGCTTGCGAATTCAATAAGACAGCTTGCATTGGTTTATATTTGGAAGGTTATCTTTGCAACTATAGGAATTAAAATGTTTTTAATTAAAGTGTACATTTTGCAGAAAACAAAGGGGAAAAAGTACAAGTTCACTAAAACCATGCTATAAGGCAGGGATCGGCAGTCTTTTGCACGTGGCCCATCAGAGAAATCCGCTGGCAGGCCAGACCAGTTTCTTTACCTGCAGTGTCCACAGGTTCGGCCAATTGCAGCTCCCACTGGCCGCAGTTCACCGTTCCAGGCCAATGGGGGCTGCAGGAAGCAGCGCGGGCCTAGGGATGTGCTGGCCAATGCTTCCCGCAGCCCCCATTGGCCTGAAATGGCGAACCGTGGCCAGTGGGGGCTGCGATCGGCCGAACCTGCGGCCGCTGTAGGTAAACAAACCGTCCTGTCCCGCCAGCGGATTTCCCTGACGGGTCGCGTGCCAAAGACTGCCAATCCCTGCTGTAAGGTGTGATTTCACTGAGGGGTCCTCCCACACGCACACCGGAACAATGTCTCGTCCGGAGAGGATTGTAGCATAGTTGTAATAAATGTTGCACTTCATTATTTCTGCGTTAATGCTTACAGAATCTCGGATGGAAAAATCTTTTGTATGTGTAAAGTGTTGTATCAACATTAAGTATGTGAAAGCCCATGCTGTGATGGTATGGGTATCTTCCGTAATATGTAAAAAAGCCAAACTGAGAATTTAAAAATTGGATGGTAACAGACTACGAATCCCAGTGATGATTGACCCTGGTGATATTCTATGCGAAAAGATCTCTCAACCATGTAGCTGTTTCCATCAATTCACACTGAGTGAATAGACATTCTAGGCTTCAGAGTGACACATCATGACAGACCTGGAATCTTACTCAAGCCTCACAGCACCCCTGTGAGGAAGATACATTATATTATTATGCCCTTTTTACAGATGGGCAAACTGAAGCACAAAGAGGTTGCCCGAGGTGACTTGCCACGGTCACACTGCACATCAGCTGCAGTTCCAAAACTATAATCCAAAAGTCCTGCCTTAACCACTGAGCCACACATGTCAACCAATGTTTTTATTGGATTTTACAAAGTCAAATATAAGGAGACAAGTAAGCTGAAAAGGTGAGACCGTACGATGAGTGTAGAAATAACATAAATCTAGACTTAGAAGTACTATATTTAGTCTGATTCTTGCTTGGATTTAAATATTAAGTAATGATGATGTACAGAGCATACCATCCTTTTTGTTACTCCTCAAATCAGATGAATTGTCTGCAAAATAATCAGAGATCATTAACGTTATGTAGGAGAGTTCTTCTAGTGGCATGCTGCTTTCATGTCTGTTAGTTCCTGGTAGTGTGTTCACTTTTTTTTTTAATTGGTATCGTATTTTGGGGAAGGTGGAAATACTAGGTAATTTTTAAATGTTTGATTAGTCACTTAAGTAGCACATTTAGGTAGTGCTTTAAATACATAGATACATACAAATGCATCCCCTTCCTTAACCAGAGTCAAGGCAAGTAACAATAATCCTGGGAACTGAGCCTGGACAGCTGGGTGGAACAACCTAAATGAGTTAAAACATTTGATTTTTTTTTTTAGTTGATTTAAATCAGGTCAAGACTTTGTAAAACTAATTTGAAAAACTGCTGTTGCAACTTCAGATTAAAATTTATAATGAACTAAATTATAAATGTCTGTTTTTAAATGCTACAACAGAGAGAGTATGTTACATTTTACAAAACCACTGCAGTCAAAAAACAAAATATTGAAAGTTAAGATCCTGATGATGCAAACACATAAGTAGGTACATAACTCAAATAATCTAATTGATTTCAGTGAGACTACACTGGTGTACAGAGATTATTGGTGAAGAGAGTTAAATATGAAAGACTCATAAAGGATTCAGAAATTAGGAAGTGGGTTTAAGGAGGAGGAAGCTTGGGGAAGAGACATTGGAAGACTGTTCCAAGTGTCTGAGGCACCTGAGTGACGGTACAAACCCATAACTTGGAGAAGGGAGCAGTAAGAAGAGAGAAGCAGAGGGACAAGGGAGAAATGAGAACCAAGATACAGGTGGAGACGAGATGTGCAAGGCTTTGAACATGAGCATGAGGAGCTAGAATTTGACATGGTTGAAATGGGAAGTCACTGAAGAGACTGAAAGGGGATTGATAAGATTGGAGTGTCAATGGAAAAACATTACTTTTAGTAGCTGTATTTTGGGTTAGGATTGGGATTTTTCTTTTCTTTTGGGGTTTTAGTTTTTTTTTTGTTTTTGTGGTGGTGGTTGTTTTTAATATATACTGAATTTCCCCCCAAAAAATAAAGGGAGAACAAAACAGTAAAGGAATGGGAGAGGGGGCGGAAAAGGAGAGCGACATTGTCATTTCCATCTGCTAGGAATTAATCAAAGATTTCTAAAAATTCAGACCAAATTTTTTTCAAATTTGTCTGGGGTCCCCCTTCTCCATAAGGAGGTAAGGTAAGCCAAGTTGTTGTGCTAAGCTTCTATGCCTGGAGCCAATCTACACTTCTGTCTAATCCAGGGGCGGGCAAACTTTTTGGTCTGAGGGCCGCATCGGATTTCGGAAATTGTATGGAGGGCCGGTTAGGGGAGGGGGTCATGGCCTGGCCCCAACCCCCTATGCGCCGCCCCCCCCCCGGACTTCTGCACCATCAACCCCCCCCCCCCATTCCCTGACTGCCCTCCCGGGACCCCTGCACCATCCAACCCCCCCTGTTCCCTGACTGCCCCTGGAATCCCCACCTCTGACTGCCCCCCCTGATCCGACCCCTCCTCTCATTCCTGACCAGGGCCGGCTTTAGGCCAATTCGCCCGATACCCCGGAATCGGGCCCTGCACACTCACCCTGCTCCCCTGGCCAGAGCGCCGGCTGCAGCGCGGCAAGCCCCGTGGCCCCGTGACCCTGGCTGGAGCTCCGGCGGCGCGCAGCCAGCCCCGCAGCCCCACTCTCCCCCCTGTTCCCTGCCCTCTGACCACCCCGACCCCTCTCCACACCCCCACCCCCTGACCACCACCCTGAACTCCCCTGCCCTCTATCCAAACCCCCTGCTCCCTGCCCCCTTACCATGCTGCCTGGAGCACTGGTGGCTGGCCCGCCTGGAGCCAGCCACGCCGTTGCCACTGCACAGCACAGAGCACCAGGTCAGACCAGGCTCTGCAACTGCGCTGCTCCAGGAGCTCACAGCCTGCCACCCAGAGCATTGTTCTGGTGGTGGGGCGAGCTGAGGCTGCAGGGGAGAGTGAACAGCAGGGCAGGGGCCAGGGGTGAGCCTCCCAGGCCAGGAACTCAGGGGTCGGGCAGGAGGGGCCCGCAGGCCGTACTTTGCCCACCTCTGAGCTAATCACTGTGTCATTTGGCTACAAGCACTGTTCTAGAGACCGAAGGTTTCCACGCATTGGATATATCCCAAAACACAGTTCTGGAAAATAATTTTTAAGGAAGTATCCATTATCATATTAATCTTTCTGCCAGCTTCAAGCCAGAAGGGTTGTATCTTGATTAAAGTGGGAGGAAAAGAAGTGAGACAATGGGAAGATAGAAAGGAAAAGTTTGCACTAATCAAGATGTGAGATTAACAGTGTGGATGTGGGTTTCAGCAGTGGTTAGTGAAGTAAGGGTGAATTTTGGTGATAATAAAAAGAACAGGAGTACTTGTGGCACCTTAGAGACTAACAAATTTATTAGAGCATAAGCTTTCGTGGACTACAGCCCACTTCTTCGGATGCATACAGAGTGGAATAAATATTGAGGTGATATATATACACACATACAGAGAGCATGAAACCGGTGATAATAAAGAGGAAGAATTAACAGGAATTAGCAAAAAAAAATTGAATATGGTTGGAGAGGGAACAGAGGTCAGTGTCAGACACATTGAAGTCAAATTTCTCACAAACAACTTTTGTGCTCTCTCCCATGTTTCTCCTTACTCACAGAAGGAGTTCTTATAACAATCTACAAAAATGTTCTCCTTCAAAGCTCTCCTTAAAATCCATCTCTGTTGTGATACCTGCAAAACATTTGACACTGGCTAAGCAGTTGATAAGCAGTGATCACAGCATGTTACATTTACTATAATTATCTGTTACCTGGTGCTTCCCACGTCTGTTACAGTCACCTGCTCTCCCATTATATACTTCAGTTGTAAGCTCTTGGGGACTGGCACCTCTAGATGCGACTGCAATACAAATCAAAATTGAAATTGCAAATCTGGGCAACAGGAAGGTTACTGTCCTTGTCAACACTAACAGAAGGGTATTGATGGACAGGGAGTAGAGGAAAATAAATTCAGTTTTGGGGAGATTGTTCTCATCACAGCTCTGTGTAGTGTAGTGTAGTATGGGCCATTACACAAAGTAAAACTATTTCCCCATGCTTATTCCCCCCACCCCCTACAGTTCCTCACATCTTCTTGTCAATTGCTGGAAATGGGCCATTTTCATTACCACTACAAACAGTTCTTTTTCTCTCATGCTGATAATAGCTCACCTTAACTGATCACTCTCCTTATAGTGTGTATGGTAACACCCATTGTTTCATGTTCTCTGTGTGTGTGTGTGTGTGTGTGTGTATATATATATATATATATATATATCTTCCTACTGTATTTTCCACTGCATGCATCCGATGAAGTGGGCTGTAGCCCACGAAAGCTTATGCTCAAATAAATTTGTTAGTCTCTAAGGTGCCACAAGTACTCCTGTTTTTTGCGGATACAGACTAACATGGCTGCTACTCTGAAACCTATGATCCTATTGTAATTTTTCATGGTCTTCCCCCCTCTCAATATCTAGTCCTCTGTTAAGATGGCCCCTTTTTATGCTTACCTGTGAGCTTTTGTCACATCCCCCTGGAACCTAGTTTAAAGCCCTCCTCACTAGGTTGGCAAGTCGATATGCAACTATTTTCTTCCCCTTCTTGGTCAGGTAGACACCCATCTTTTCCCAGCATACCTTCCTCCTGGAACGGCATGCCATGGTTGAGAAAGCTGAAGTCCTCCCATCGACACCATCCACGCAGCCATCCATTCATCTCCAGGATGTGCATGTTGCTGCCTGAGCCCTTACCATCAACCAGGAGGATGAGTGAGAAGACAACCTACTCCTCTGACCCCCTTCACTCTTGCTTCCTGCGTCCTGTAGTCACCACTGATCTGCTTGGGGTCAGACCTGGCAGTATCATTAGTGCCCGTGTAGATGAACAGCATGGTAACAGGGACGGATGAACCTTGGCAACTTTTCCATAACATCTCAGATGTGTGCTACAGGCATGCAGCGCACATCTAAAGACATCATATCATGTTGGCAGATGGAAGCCTCCATCCTCCTCAGATGGGAGTCCCCCAACGACCAGCACCCTATCTCTCCCTCTGAAAAGAATGGTAGAATGCAGAAAGCACAGCTTGCTATTCGACTGCTATTTTCTATTTAATTCTGACAAATTGTGAGTGGGCTCAGAGCCACAATATCTTGTGAGGCTGCAACTGTATACCATATATTAATATTTATAAAGCTTAATAGCACAGTAATTTCTCTCTTAAATTAATTTTGTTGTTTATTGTTGGAGGTTAATTACTAATGTAGATAAGTGCTTATATAACAGTACTGAATACTGTTTTCAAAACTGTCTCTATATTTTTTTATTATTTTGTTGCATATTTTTAAATATCTAGGGTACAAATAAGCTTAAATTAATGCTTGCAAAACACTTTGAAGTCTTATTGTATTTATAGTTTGTCACTTTATTCAAATTTTATACTGATACAAGACAATCTCATATTATAAAATATAATGACAACAATATTCAATTAAGAGTGAATATTAGCTCATCACTAACTCCCTAACACACTGACTAAAGAGTAATTTAAAAAAATAGACAAATTTTAATTAGGCATATGAGGTTTTACACAGAGAATGAGACCAAAGCAGCTTGTTATTTAACCAGCTTTCAGCTTAACAAAGTCAATGAATACAGGAAAAAGTTTTCAAGTTTTAAACCCACTGACACTAATAAAAAAGGCTAAACAAGTTAATACAGTGAAATTTTCAGCAAGAACCACATTCATTTTAAAATTTCTTAATGATCTGAAATTTTTAACAGTAAAGCAGTTTCTTTAGAATCCATTTTGAAATCATTTAAAAATATTCTATATTAGTATACCAACCCAAATAAATTGGTCAGATGTTTTGGGGTCAGTTTTGAGTACGTTTGCCTTCCAAGTTTGTGCTAGTTGAATTTTAAATAGCAAAAATTGAGTCAGTATAGCTCTTGCAATGAAATCTCACGATTTTTTATTACTCTGAATGGTATGAAAAACTGAAAATAAAGGTAGTTTGTCTTTGCTATCTAGCTAAGAAAATCTCCCCTTCCAATTGAATGGTAGAACAATCATCTGGAAAGAAGGGCCTGTATTTGACAGCCTATAGTATTATGCAGTGTTGCTGTAGCAGTGTCAGTCCCAGGATATTAGAGAGACTCACCTTGAGCCTATAATTTGTGTATTTAGCACTGTATCTGATAGTTTGGGGGATTTTCTTTCCCCCTTCCTCCTTTTATCTAGTTCTTTGGTTTCTCTTTAGTTTGACCCATCTGTGACCAAAAGAATTATTACTGCTAATATAAAAGTTTTTGTTGATTGTTGTTGGCAATCTCCTAGTAATGCATTAGACTTAATAGGTTGAGTGTCAAAGTAAAAGAACTGTAATACTGTATACAGGTTACTTCCATACAGTCTGATCAATGCTGTGCTAACTGAGTAGTCACTGATACGGTTGCCAACTCCCTATCTCCTAATGTGGGACATGTAATTCAGATTCTGGATATATATGTGATGGCACTTCTGTTACATTAATGGGACATAATATTCATAGGCCAGTACCAGTTGTTCATTCTGTTTGCTACTGTTTCCCGTGTTCATGCACTCATCCAAGCTAAAATTAAAAGCAAACAGTCTATCACTTAAAATATTGTCTAGGTTTCTAGGACAAAAATTAGATCTATTTTGTGTTTTTTCCCCCTAACATCTTTCTGCAAGTTCTATATGGGTTCTAATTCTTCTATATGGGTTCTTTTAAAAAAAAATCTAAATTAAAAATGGCCATAGGCCTGTTCTCTTGAGCAACCCTACAATAATAAATTAGGATCCCTGCACAATAAACAAACAGAAAAATAAGAAAATAGATTTAAACCTCAACCCTTCAACAGATGGCTTTCGTTTTAGGATAGAAAAATAAATCTGATAAAGATTTCTCAAATTTTGCAAAAAATTTCTCATTTGTATGGTAAAAATACCCACCAGAATATTATACAATAAATGAACCACATTAAATGGCACACAAGATGGCTTTAAATGTATGAAAAATGCCCTGATGTCCTTTTTAAAAGGAAACACCAATAACACAAACTTGGTGTTTACTTAGTTGTATAAGGCAGGTGTGGATCTGACTTTGAAATGAATGCTTCCAAAGGGCCAGCATCAATAAGCAATGATTCCAGCTGTGATTGTTTATAGGGACCTAGAAATATATTACACAGAACTGAGCTGTCATGTATTTTAGGTCTGTTTAACTATGTAGTTTCAATAAGAGAACGTATTGATAAAGAGTGTAAGATATTGCTATAAGCAAGAGTTTATTATTCAAACAAAAGGATTTGATTTTGGAAAACACAGTCAAGCTGTGGAAAGATTCTGAAGCTAAGGAACCTGCATGTGTTTGACGTCTGTACACAGTGATTTCCTAAATTTTAGCTCAGGCTTTTCATCACTGTGGCTAACTATTATTAATTGTTTGTATTCCAATATCCTCTAAAAGACTCTGTCAGGATTGGGGTTCCATTGTGCACCGTAGAAACATAAAATAAGAGACAATAATACCTCCTCTACAAGTTTAAATCTAAATAGACAAGGTAGAGAAAAGGTGTGGGGAAAGGATGTACCATACAGTTACAATAAATGGAGTGGTGGTTTGCAAACATGTTAGGAAAGAATGTCCAGAGAAAAAAACTGTAGAAAGTAGGCTGATGAAATAATTGCCAACTTGTAATCTTTAAATTGAGTGGTCTGTGTACAAGAGAATACTGTGGTTATATATTTAAATATGTATTTAACAATATAACAAATAATAGTCTTGACTTGCACCTCACTCCACAAGGAGACTTAATTAGATCATTGTGTAATTCATTAGCCAGAAAATATGGGATAATAAGCACTGTGGATTTCTATAGCAGTAGCTGTAGAATAAATGGAGGACATCAGTTTTCAAAATGGTCGGATTCTGTTTAGTTTTTTTTCCAGAAATAATATGAAAGATTAATAATGTGAGCAAAATATTCCATAAAAGCAATGCCTTCTCAGTTTTACTTGTAACTAAAGATTTGTTTTTCTATACTCAGCTGGGAAGTCATCAATTCCAAACCTGACTACAGGCCCAAAATAAACCAATGTATTGTAGATGCATTGGTGAATTTATTTCTATTTCTTCAGGAAATGTCACACTTCAAAGAGAAAAACCCTGGCAAGGTGAGTTCAATAAAGTAAGCTCAATATCTTTATCCTGTTTTATCAGGAGGTATTCTGTCTCAGCAAACTATGATTGATAATATAGCAGGTAAATTTGCTAAAATGAAGACACTAAACTAGATTCAGTCAGGGTTTGTGCTAGCATCTTTCTGTATGGATTGTAAGGGAGACTCCATGTAGCAGAAAAGTTGCCCAGGGAAAAGATTTATGGCAGTAGAGCCCCTCCCCAGTTAGCTGCTGGACTCTTCTCCAGCCACTGTGTAACACCAGAATTAGGGCAAGATATGGCATGACCAGTGTGGCTATGGGATGCACTGCTATGGAGCTCCTGGTGGAAATGCCATCTGTCTCCCTAGGGTAGAGACATCAGATCAGATCACAATAATAGCTTTAATAAAAACAGAAGAATCCTACATCATTTATAAATTTATGTATTATTTTTTAAAATAGCTTTAATTGATTTTCAGAAAGTTTTACTCAAGTATTACATAAATAGCATCTAATATTATGATATGAGAGGATCCTACCTATATCATAGTGCTATCATTTATCTGCTCATATAAATGTAGCATAATTTTTCCGAGACAGACTGAGGTGGAAAACACATGAGTGATAAAAGGCAAGCAAGAGTATAATACTCTTCTTCTATTCGCAGAGTACTGTTGTTTTTGGCCAAATCTGAACTGATCTTTTCTCAATTAAACCAAATATTAGTAGCATGAGCAACATTGATAGTGGAACAGTCCATCATGGCAGCTGTAGTGGACATTGTAGATTTTTGCTTGTCATCTTTGGGTATTTCACTTTTTTTTTCTTTTTTGCATTCAAACTTACTTGGACAAGTTACATTTTCTTCTTGAGATCATAACAAGAGTTTGCATTGAGATGTTTCCTGGAAAGAAGGCTCTCCGATGTAACAAAATGAATTTATATATTCCCAGTTGAAAAGTACATTAAGAAGAAGTTATGGCTGAGAGTATATATCAATAAAATAGGATAAAATACATTATAGGGATGTTGTGATTATCCTAGAAACAAACATAAACCCAAGAAATTCAAAGTTAAGATTAAACTGAAAAAAACCCCAATCATATGAGGTATGGAAATGTAGCTTTAATGCATCCAGACAACCAGATCTGCTGTCTACCGATGCCATGCAATAACCATATTGCACTGGGGGGTAGGGACACTTATCTCTTGAGCACCTCTTTGTGGCTGAGTGTAGTATTTCAGTCCCTTTGCTGCTCCTGGCACCCCCTGTAGGCTGTCTGCATGTCTCTGCCAGTTTTCTTTGGCTTGGCCCTCCAGCCAGGTCACACAGTCAGACTGACCATCTTGCAATGAGTCCAACAAAACAGTCTATCTACCCTCACCAGAGTCTTTAGTCTTAGCTTTGGGTCCTTTAAATTCATCCTTTTGCTTGGGCTTCTAAGCAAGACCTGTCCCCTTCATGGGGCTTAGGTTAGGCTTCTCCCCCACACCTCCCATTTCTTGGGGTTGATGCTATTTTGCTGGTGGATCCACCCATTACTCTATGTTCCAACCTAGAGGCTCTATAAACAGCAGCCACATACTGTTCAGGTACATTTGTTGCTGCTACTTCCCTAGGCCTCTTCCCATCTGGCTCCTTTATCTTCACCAATATCCCAGGACCAAAATTCTCAGGTTCCTCTTTCCCTGCAAACCCAACTGTGCAAGCGAGGCCTGAATTGTACCCTGGCTAGTACTCAGACTCCTTTGGCCAAAGAGGAACACCTTCCCACCCAGGGACTGCCCTACTAAGGCCCAGCATCAAATGTTATCTAAGCCTGCTGGGCACTGATTGGCTGTCACTAGACCTTCTAGCCCTTGGAGGACCAGGTCTTTGTAGTTTCCAAGATGGCTGCCTCCAAGAGACCTCTCTAGGCAGGCCTGGAAGACCCAACTTCATTGGTCTTTTCCTTGCATGTTGCTTCTTTCTGGGGCAGGGTGCAGCAGAGCAGTGGGGCCTCCAGCAGGAGTCCAGAAGGGCCTGGTACATTCTGTCACATCTATCATTAAGTATGCCTGAGGGAATTTTGCACCACTGTGCATGCGCAGAATTTGTGTGCCGCATAATTTTTTCCTCAAAAAATACTCTGCCTAAGAAGTGCTGCAGTTCTGCCTTTCGCCCGCCAGAGGCCGCTGTGGCACCAGGACAGCCAGCAGCAGGCTGCTCTAGTGCCACAGCAACCTCTGGTGGTCAAAAGGTAGAACTGCAGCACTTCTGGGGCAAAATGTATTTTCTGTGTGGAAAAAAATTCTGTACATGAACAGTGGTACAGAATTCCCCTAGGAGTAGAGGTTCATCACAGCATCTGCCTCCAGAGCCAGGCTAGGACAGACAGAGTGGGGCACATGGGGCTGCTGGGAGGGGTCACAGATTGGGGTTCAGAATGGCTAGGGGGGAACAGTGTTGAGCCAGCGGCTGAATGGGAGTGGGGGTGCAAGGCCACATGAGGATGGGAGGTTTGGGGACAGGGGCAGATGTGCTTGACTGAATGGGAGAGGCTTGGGGTCAGCCAGGATCTGCATGGGGGAAGCTCACCAACTCCCTAACAATCCCGCCCCTCCCCACCCCCAAAAAAGCCTGTTCCATATTTTTCCCACCCCACCTAACAACCTTCCAGGTTCACTCCAGGCTCCTTCCCTCTCCGTCTGCTCCTTCCCTGTCCATCAGCTCCTCTGTTACCCCTGACTCCCCCGAGCCTTTTCACTCATTCTGATAAGTGTAGGAAATATAGTTCTGTATTGTAATTTAAATGAATTACTCAAAGTTCTGTAGTAATATGCCAAGTAAGGAATCTATTTGTCAAAATTTTTTTACCAGAATCTGTTTTTGGTCTGTATTGTTACAGACATACTTGCTGACCGATATTTTGAAATAAATTACCAAAATAATTGAAACTGGTATGATTATATTGTATTATTTTGACAAATAAAATATGCAGAATTTTGCAGAATTAAAAAATATTGTGCAGAGAATTTTTATTTTTTTTGGCACAGAATTCCTCCAGGAGTAGTTAAGGCATTTTAATGTTTGAGGTCTCAGTTTAGACAAAACTGATTTTTAAAGACACATTAAATTTTTTTTCCTCCTCCCCTTTTCCCCTGATGGTATCACTGTTCTATTGTTAAGACCATAAGAGAAGAAATAAAGTCTGATAGTGTGTGCTTCTCCTTCTTAATTAATTTTATCTCCTAATTTAATTAATAAGCTTGTAAATTCTCAGAAAATTCTGTAGTTTTGGGGAGGATACGTTGTATTTTTCAAACACAACAGAGATTAAATCCCTTCTTTATATATGCAAAATTCAGATTAATTTATAGAGCAGTAACTGATGCTTCCATAATGATACACTGTACAATGTTGAAAAGTGCCAAGAGTTAGCAGTATACAAGACAAAACAATGAAAATGTCAAGTAAATTACAACTTAATTTGCATAAAGCTATATCTGGCTTTAGTGAGATCCTGTCAGTGCCTTCCTTTCATGAATGTCAAAATCAGTCCCCAGTTTTAAGTAAAGTTTAAAAAAAAAATAAACCCAAGTTGTAGTTTTCAGATGGATTATGAAGATGGTGACCTAACAAAACGAGCACCTGTTATTACTGCCTATTGTATTTCTTCTGATATTCATCGTATCCAGTTTTCATGACTGGCGATGACCTGGAGGTTGTTAAAACTTCCATATGGTAGGTGGAGGGAAGAAGCCTTATTTTTATAATACCACCTGAGACATAGCCTAATCACCCAAAAATATGCTGCTTAATTCTTACTGTAATACTTGTATTGCAATTATAATAAAAAAATCTTCAATATTGTACTTTTAAACTAGAATATTACCCTGCCGGGGAACTGTTCTTATCACAAAGTGTAAATATTTAATGTCATAGCAGTATGAATTCTAACTATCATCTCTGATCTCTTCTGTTTTCAGTTTTGCCTTCTGGTCTGCAGTGTGTGTACATTTTTCACTATCTTGGGTAGTTACATTCCTGGAATTGTACTCTCCTACTTTCTATGTAAGTATAGTCTTTTTTCCCCCCAGTCATGTCTTATGCATGTTGTATGTTCATTATGCAGTCTAACATACAGTCCGTTTTTTAAATAAATAGTTCTGTATATGGATCTTGACCGATGATGATATTATATGAATGTCAGGTTACAGATTTTTCAGTTTGTCAGTTAAAATTCTGACACATCATGGCACAACTGTATGATACCTTTTAGGCAGTGATACAGAGAGAGACATATTTATGCCAAAATATGAATAAAATATGAATAAAAATATATGCTACCATGACCACAAATTCCCTATTGGAACTTCTGAAAATATTTAGCCACTTGGTATAAATAGTTGTTGTTATAATGTTTCTATCCCATAGAAGAGAAACCATACACTCCCAACCCACAATGTCTGAAGCAGGTTGGAATGTGCTGTTTTTTGATGTTTACTTTATCAATGATTTCATCTTTCAGCAGTACATTTCCCTTTCTCAGAAAGCAAATTATGTCTTCAAAGACTGATGGTGGGCTGTGAGCTACATCTCACTGAGATGTCTCTTCCATGAAAAATTATCCCACTACCCCTACTGTTGTTTGTTTGTTTTACAAATTATGCCACCAACTGCTGTAGTGTATCATGAGTCCATATTGTTATCTAATACTGTTGTTTATATATGAATGGAGTTTTAAACAATTCAAACAAGTGGGTGAAGAGCTGAGTAAATTATATGGAAAAAAAAAACAGATGCCTCTGTTTTGCCAGTATATTGGTGTTAGTCTCTGCTGCTGCAAAAAAGTGCCTTGTCCTTTCAAGAGAACTCCTAGTTAAGGAGGGGGAAAAACAGAGTAAACTGAGGCCAATGCGTATATTAATCCACTGCATTGGAGTGTGATATCAGTTCAAGCACACCATGTCAGGACCTTAATAGGTATAGTCAAATGGATTAGCAGAAAAGTTCAGTGAAAATAGCAAGGATTATTAAAAGAATTATTACCACCATTATCAAATTTATTATAATAATGGAGCCCTGGCAGATTTAAGAGATTTATATTTAGCATTGTTGGAGTATTGCAGCACACAGCACAGTGATTTATTAACATCACAAGTATAAAGGTTTACAGGCAGAAGAACAAAAACCTTTTTGCTTACATTGAGCTTTTTGAGCCAAATATAATAAACCTTTATTTGTTCTAAAAGAGGTATATATCAGCCGTACAGAATTAAAAAAACAAGAATGCCAAAAGTTTACCCCCATTGCAATTGGGAGAGAACGTTAATTTCAAAAAAAATGTGGCTACCACCCAATTAAGATAATGACTTATACCATTAGCACCAAGGATCTGTCCTATAGCAGGAATAGAAAACATCTACTCAAAATCAGGGAGGGCACTGGCTTCTCCCCCCCATGCTCCCCAGGACATCCAGAATGCCATTGATAGTACTCCTGTGCTGACAGAAATGGCATACACACACACACAGTCACTGACTAGAAAACACCTGGAGCAGCACAGTGTGGATCCAATCTCAGATACAAATAGACCACTGCAGAAGGAACAGTTTTTAGAACAAGAGGTCATGTGATCAGAAATTCACTGAGATGGTAGTCACTGACAAACGTCCAAAGCTCCTAGAGCTTTCTATTTGTTTTATTAAGTGGGTGTATTTGTTTGGGGTTATCTTTAGTTTATATTATGTTTTATTTGCATTTGATGTTTTCTTTAAACATGTTATAGTAACCTTTGGAGTTCGTGAATACTGACTCTGTCACGTGGTAGGAGATTACTCTTTTGTAACTGTGACCGATGTCATGTGACTAGGAACAGGAATTAAAGTTCAATGTCTTACAAGCCTGTAATATTATTATATTGTGGTAACACCTAGAAGCCCCAATCAGAGATCCTGGTCCACTAAGTTAGGCACAGTAAACAGGTTGTGATACTTTCTTGGGGTATCCAGAACTGTAAGTCACCCTGTTACTTCTCTGCCTAAGCATAAAAGGGTCTGCTGGTGCTTAACTGAGTGACAATTCCCTGCCACTCCAGTTTGTTAGCCAGCCTCACATATTCCTCAGGACTCTGCCAGTCGTAACTGCCTTGCAGATTAACCCTTGGACTACTTCAGTTCCCAAACTCTCCAGAAGCTTCTCCCTACAATATCCAGATCCTGTCCCTGGACACTCAGAGAAATTACCAAGTATGCTGTTTCCAAAGAGACAGAATACACATCAACCTGTTGGTTCATCTGAGGATGCACACCTCACTTTAGTATAACAGCATTGAGATGAATTTATAATAAAACAATAAGTTTATTAATAAAGAACTGAGATTTAAGTGAAACTAAGCAGACAATAGAAACAGAAAACAAAACAAATAATGACATTTTAACAGTTGATATATTGTCTGCCACCACTTCCCCAGCATATATAGAAATGGGAGATAGTTACCCTATAAATCTATTATGATACTGGTCTTGGCAGCAATTACTGGTTGAATGCATTGTAAGACCACACCTTTAAATCCTATTTTGGGATGAGCCAAAATTAACAAAGCACGGATTTCTTTTAAATATAAAAATACATTTTGTATTTTTGCTGATAACACCAGCAATATTATTTCATCTAATGGTTAAAATTGCTGATTGACATAGATTGATCTTCTACAACAGCAGAAACTTTCTCCAGAGTAAGTGGGACAAAATGCACATCAATTGGATCCACTCAGGGCCATTACTTGGTAACATTTTTCGCTACATTTTAGTGACTTTGCTTTTGTTTTTCTCCTTCTAAAAGATTTTATTTGCCTAAATATAAATATTTTAATGAGACTGTGATTGTGACCCAGGGACCTCTTGATGCCGAGTGGCAGCAGGAATAAATGGTACATAAGGGTTAGAGGAATGCCCTGGGTCTGGTATATTTACATTCTAGTTCACCAAAAGAGTGTCTTGTGAGGTCTTTAATAAAAGCCTCTGTCACGCTGGTTGTCAGTATCATTGCAAAGTGCATGTATGGATGTTGTATATGGAGTTACATATGTACACTGAAAATTATGTTCTTATGGTCTATGTAGGGACTGGTCACCAGGAACAGGGAGAAACTGGTTTTCTTTCCGGCAAGAAATGTTTATCTGTTTCCATGTAAATGAAGTATTGTCTGATTCACAATGGTACTCTACTCACCAGTCTGAACCAAATGCTAATGAAGAATAGTGAACTCTTCAAAGAGAGGAAAGGAACAGGAAGAAATAAATAGTGGGGTAGACAGGGGAAGGGAAACCCATCTTGAGTTGCACATCAAAGGTATGTGCTGGTATATTTAAGGGTGCAAAGAGACACACTGGCATCCTTCGCCTAGGAAGTAGGATAGCAAAATTTGCTTAATGGAAAAGGGGTCTCAACCAGGTCTGGTTGAGAATGTTGAGAGAACTTTGGGTGAGATAAGCTTTTTTAGACAGAAGGATAACTTATTAATTAAGTTTAATCTCTAGAAAGCATGTTATGATTTTGTTTTATGTGAAACCATTTGTTTCCAATATTCTTACTCACTGTCACTTGAATTTCTGTTCTTTGATAATAAAGTTACACTTATTTTCTCTGTAAATATATCTAAGTGCTGTGTGTTTAGCAGAGCTGTGTTCTAAGGTATAATTAGTAAGCTGCGGTGTACTGTTCCGTTGGGAACACCAGACCTGGTAGTTCTGTGAGAGTTCAGTGAATAAAGAGCTGACTCTATAGGGAACACTCCCAGGACACAGGGGTTGGTGTGTGCCTATCGCTAACCTGCACAGAAAGAAAGAGGTCTGCAAGGGAGTGCTTGTGTCACCAGAGGCTGCTGGTTTCAGGAAACAGATCCACAGCAGATACAGACAAGACTTCTTCATACTAAGAACAGGTGGTGGTGAGGTGCCTCACAACCCTGGATACCCGGGGAAGTGTCACAGGGATATCATTTTGCTTCTGATTTGCACTTGGAATGGACAAAGAGTAGGATGAAGAGGACTTATTATTATTCGTGTATTTTGAAAAGCAAATTTAGGTCCCTGTGAGGGCTTGGATTGATGTCACTAGAGACTAAAGCTGTGTTTACCCAGATAGCTTATGGCATAGGCAGCAGCTGTGGAAAACTTTGCCTACCCTGACCTCAATAGAATGCATTTATGGGGGCAGAGGAGAGGATAGTTTGATCTAAGTGCCCAGCCTTCTAGAGAGACTATGAAAACGGGTGCCAATTGATGTGAATATAATGATAATTTTTGTGATGTGGACTAGTAATCAGTAGGAACCGTACGGAGACCAGTAACTCCTCTGATGTGGCATTTACTGTTGTTTACGTTACGTAAAGGTAATTCTCTTTATATTAATGAAATGTATGGTGTAATCTTTAGTTAGTGATTTAAACATAAATATTTAAGTAACCTTTCTGTTTATATCTTGGTTTTGTGTTACAGTACTGTGTGCCTTTTTATGTCCACTGTTCAAGTGCAATGAATTTGGGCAGAAGATGTGCAACAAAATCAAGTCAGTTCTGCTGAAACTGGATTTTGGAATTGGGGACTATATCAACCAAAAGAAGAGAGAGAGATCTGGTAAGTAACTAATATGGAGGGGGAGGAAGGGAGAGGGCTGTTTTGTTTTTCCCACATGGAGTCTCAAATATTATATATCTAAAATTAGGCAAAAATCTGCTCATATTGTAATCATCACAGTTCATCTTTTGAAACCAAGCATGAGTATACTTGTCATAATGGAATTCTAAACTGAAGGATGGGAGCAAAATTCAAACAGTATATGTCAGACTGACCGGTTAGGATGGGGTGAGGAGTTTTCTCCTCTCATTAGATTTGATCTGCCCCATCACTTCATATATTTAGGAAAACTGCTAGTTTTAAAGTATGAAACATTAGTCTAGCCACCTTACTCAGAGTTAACATGTACTTCCAAATGCATATGTTCTATTCACATTAAAGCACCTAATGTCTAGTGATTAGATTGAGGCTTCTGAAATAAGGACTCCTAGATTCTAACCCAGCTAAATTATGCTAGTGACTGTGCAACTTCAGGCAATTTACATAACCTCTCTGTGTCTCTGTTTACCGATTGAGGTATTATGAGGCTTAAGCATTTTGAGATTCTTTGAACTAAACTAAAGATACTGTATAAGTGCATGTTGTGTTTTATTTTATTAACATGTTTATTTTGGAAGGTGTGTGGGGGTCCCAAAGCAACTGCTGGGAAGGGAATGAAATAATATATTCAACTATTTTTGAACCATGAAATTGCACAATAGTATAAAATCAAAAGACCATACTTCTGACACTGAAATATTAGGAAGATAAATAAAAAATGCCATCTTCATCCCAGACTTTCTCAGATAAACTTTTATTCTGGGTCATCTTTATATGAGCAAAATTATTATGTTGCTTATTTGATTGTTCACATGAGGGAGTGTGGCAGGGCGCTGCTAGGAAAGCCCTTAATCAGCTCCCGCCGCCCCAGCCCCAATCAGGGGGAATGGATTGGGGCTGGGTAAATAGCCAGTGCTTGCCTGGAAACTGCCCGCATCTGCCAGCTTCATTAGCAGGAGCTAAAAGGCTGGAAGTGGAAGAAGGGGGTGCGGAGACCAGGAGGGAAAGGTCAGGCTCACAGGGAGGAAGGAGCCTACCAGTCTGTTGCTGATCAGGCGGGTGTGAGGCCAAGCTGTGTAAATAGCCTGAAAATAGTGGGAAACTGGTGGTGGGGAAAGGACACAAAATAAAGAGCATGGGTGTTACACCAGCTTGGAGCGTCACTGAGTCTTTAAAGAGTGGGGCCAATGGGCCAAATCCTATGGGGCACGACGTGCACCCAGTTACATGTGGGGGCTTGTCCAGGACTAGAAGCCACCGCCAGCGAGTGGAAACCTGAGCATGGAGGGAACAGTGCAGTGGCTCATGAAGCAACAAGAGGAGCTGCAGAAAACCCTGCAGGCCTTTCAGCAGTCCCACCAGGCCAAGAGACAGGTCTTACTTGCTTGGCAGGCCGAGCAACAAAAGACCTTCCAGGACTTCATCAGGGAGCAGGCCAGTGTACAGCAGCAGCTCCTGCACCAGTTGGGGAGTCCCCCGGGAGGTGATGGCAGCCACGCACCAGGGTTGGTGCTGTGTAAGATGGGCCCCGCCGATGTATTGTGGGTGCTATCAGAGATAAGTAAAAATTGCATTTGAAGGGGCCCAGGAGTCTGTCAGCTTTTCTGCTAGGCTACAATGCTGCTTTCAGTTAACTTCCTTCTTTAAAAAAAATGGATGGAGGATGAGATTGTTTCTGACAGAGGGGGAGAGAAGGGAGAAGGCAAAATGTGTGTTCCTTGTATGTTAATTGGAGACACCTGTGACCCAACAAAAACTACCAGACCTACTTGGTCACTTTCAGTGCAAATTTGAAGGTAGTTAGGATGAATGCAGGGGAAAGAATGAATGGGTACAAAGGTAGGGTTACCATATTTCCACAATCAAAAAAGAGGACACGGAGGGGGGGGGTGTGCTCTAGCCCTGCCCCACCCCTATCCACTCCCTCCCACTTCCCACCCCCTGACTGCCCCCCCTCAGAATCCACAACCTCCCTCCCCCCCGCTCCTTGTCCCCTGACTGCCCCCTTGTGACGTTATTG